AAGTGTGAACAAAAAGAAGTTAACAGAATTTCTGTGTTACTGAGAAGGACAAAATTATCGCATGTTGTATTATAATTTAATTGTATTATCCTGTAGCAAATGAAGAGATGAGTTAATTTGCAAAATTTTAAGAATTTTGATGTTTTGAAATAGAAAGTATGTAGTGCTCATACTGACATATACTTTAGATTTTCCCATGAACATAAGAGGAGTATATGACTTGAGGTAATATAGAATTGGCTGAAAAGAAAGTTGTTTTTAAGAGAATGGAGTTGACAGATTGACACAAAGCAGAATTTGTAGTGCAGCCTGAATTAGTTCTTATTCAATATCTATATGTGTGGTTGTGTATGGTTTATCTTATTTTAAAGGACATTTTAACTAGTAGTCCCTGCAAGATGGTTTTTTTTTTTTAAACCACAGAGGTATAGGAAATTGTTTTCAGCAATTTGCAAGTTTCATTTTATATTTTGTATAGGTTTTTCAAATAAGTTTGAAGAAGGTGATAGCTCTGGTTTCTGGAGAGGTAAGTCCAGTATTTTTGTGTTGACTTTTAAAAATTTAGTGTCAAGAATATTTGCAAAGAGAAACTGAGGTTAGGTATCTTAGTTGAATTCTAATGTATTTTAACCCAGTTTTATGAAGCAGCTATATCCAGAGCCTTAGTGAAGGATATTACTGGTTTATAGATAGAGTTCAGGCATCCTAATTTGGCCCATTGCCACCTGCCTTAATCTGTGAGATGTAGCTTTTGAATGCTCTGCTATCTTAGGAAAATGGGGATAGATAGTAAAAACAGCAAGTCAAGAATTGAAATTCTACTCCATATATAAATACAGTTTCGGATTTGTAGGGTCCCATTTAGACTCAAATTGTCTAAGAAAAAGATTCATGAGAATGTAAATCACTGCTGAAATTAAAGACATTTCTGTACTGACGTTCTGCAGGAATACAGAAAATGATGAGAATAATGTTACCAGAAGATACACTACAGTAACAAACAGTGTTTGAGTAGATGGGGGTGAGACCTTGGAACCTGTATTTAAAAAGCATCCCTAGTAATTCTGATGCCTCCTTTGTTTAGTAACCATTGATCTATGGAATCTTTATAACATGATATGCTTTGGAGTTCCAGACTTTTTCATGTCTCTGCTCCCTACCTGCTGGTTGAATGAAGCAGAACTTAATCTTTCTAAATCACAGTTTCCTACTCTGCAGAATGGAGGCCATCTGTTTCATAGGTTGTTAGGCAGATTAAATGAGAATGTTTGTAAAAGCAGAAATCTCAGTACCAGACACCTTCATGGTAAACACTCAGTAACTGCCATCTGTCTGTCTTCATTAAATATTTGAGGCTTGATCTTATTATATTCTTTAATTCCCAAAGTCAAAATCAAGCCTAGACCTGATCACCTTAAAACTCTTTTGGAATAAGGTGGGATTTTAATTACCAAATAAGACTGTTTCCCTGAACAATTGCTGGTCTCTTTCTCCCTGCTTCTCTCTGCTTTTTCTCCCATTCCATTCAAATGAAAACATGTGTAACAGAGCTAGTATTATGAGAGAAGAAAAACATTTTTATTCTTTTCCATTTCTTTTTGACGGTTACTATTGTAATCTCTCAACTTTTAACCCATTTACTATTCAAAATCATTTCCATTTACCCAAAGACCTTCCTACCCAGTTGAGTCCCTTCTAGGGATGGTAGGTCAGAGAGCTTTTAGTTACAAATTTCAGTTTCTCACAGCACTTGAGAGAACTTCTCTTCTCCAAAGTGGTCTGCTTGCTTTGCTTTGATCTACTTCTGTTTTCATTATTAGTTCCCCTAAAATAAAAAATTAAATGAATGGATTGAATTCTTTCATCATTCCAATTGTTGACCAGTCCAGAAGTAGGTTTTGAGCTCATGGTAGAAACTTTTACTCTGCACACAAATGGATGGTGCATTTTGTGGTTGTGTTTTTCTGTAATCTAGTTTTCCTAATCCTGTACGATGTAGCGATAAGGAGCTCAGGTTTTGGAGTCAGAAACCCTAGGTTCGAGGCTGGGCTCGGTGGCTCATGCCTGTAATCCTAGCACTCTGGGAGGCCGAGGCAGGCGGATCGTTTGAGCTCAGGAGTTCGAGACCAGCCTGAGCAAGAGTGAGACCCCATCTCTACTAAAAAATAGAAAGAAATTAGCTGGACAACT